AAGAGAATGTGTCACTTGACTGGATCCTGACCTCTCCAGTGGAACCTGGGCCTGAATGTCCATCATAACCATAGTTACCTTCAGAAGCCAAACATGCCATATTTGAATGTTCACCAGTCCTCTTGAATCTGAAGTTTCCAAAGTAGTTGAGCTAACAGTAGGCAAGAGAGACCATGCACATTTTCTAATTGTTTTGTCACTGTGCATTCTATCAGAGGTTCTCAGAACTTCTGTTCAATCCTGGATAAAGGGGGTTACTGTGTGCTAGGTGCCCTGAAGCCAAGTGTTAGGGAAATGAGACCAGGAGATGTTGATCCCAAACTCAAGAAGCTCATGAGGTAGTAAGAGAAATGGTAGCCAGCACCACCTCGTTGCCCTCATCTCCTTCCCCCATATCAGCCAGTGATTCACCTGCATTAGCATTCTTAGAGACAGTCATCCACAGTGTCTGCAAGCAAGAACTTCAGAGCCAGACACCCCAAGTTCACATTCCAGCTCCACCACTTGCTAGTTAAGTGATCCTAGCTAAGTTCCGTAACCTCTCTGTGCCCTAGTCTCACCAAGGGTGAGATGGGAATGAGAGTAGCACGTGTGCCACTGTGAATACACATAAAAGTTTGAAACTGTGTGCACAGCACACAGCAAGCATGCAATAAATCCTAATTATTATGATTATTATTTCTCTGTGCAGTAATTGTGTCTGTGACACTGTCTCTACCAGACCATAAGCTCCTATCCTATCCAGCTCTGTTTCCCAGTGCCTAACAAGTTATTTGACCCATCAAAGGTAGCCTGTTGCTATTGACTGAATTGAAGAGAACTGAATTAGATTAATATTTAAGATGGATATAAGTCCAATGGGCAGAGAAGGGAAGAGATTCCAGGCAAAGTAAGTACCACGTGCAAAGCAGAGTATGGGAGCGGATGTTCTACTGTGAAAACATAGTGTCTCCTGTTCATAACTAATGTATGCTGGGAAGACGTTGATCAATATTCTTGCAGCTACTGGTGGTGGGAACCAAAATAAAAACTATCGTAAGTGAGAAAGAAGGAATATATTTAGTTCCATTGATTTTGGATTTCTATTCTCGCTGAGTAGAAATGGTTCATGATGAAAGAGGAGTTGTGTCCAGCCAACACAATGGCCCATAGACGCCAAGGAATTCATGAACATTTATTGGTGTTCTTCTCTGGAAAATTTCAGAGATAACTGGCGCAATTGGATCCACGCACTCAGGCAGTATTCTCAGGGTCCCATGTCCCTTTCCAACAAGCATAGAAGACATACCAGGACACTGTCTCTCTATGGCTTAGGTGAGTGTTATTCAAATTGTAGGTATGATACACGAGACAGACTCATGTCTAACTTAGTACCTCCAGCAGGAAGATATGACCTCTTATTGATTAATCCTACAGAAATATCCTAAGAGGGACTATGATTGGCCCAACTGAGGTCATGGAACCATCCTGTGGCTGGGCATGTGGACTATCCCATCAATGGAATGAGTTCCCTAAAGGGAAGAGAAGTTCTAGCACCCAAAGAAAGGGAAGACATGACAGGCAGGTGTAATTGCAGATATCCCCAAGGGGAGGTAATGCTAAAGAAGCAGACATTGCTAGCTGATCTCCCAAACCTGTCCTCCCCTCTTATTTCCTGGCACTATACCTCCCAATCTTTCTTGCAGCCAGGATGGCGATTCATGTCTGGGCCATGTAACGGAATCAGGAGTTCAGAGCACTCTTCTGAGCCCTGGCTTTGAAGAAGTGAAGTGTGACTTTCCAAGCTATGTTTGCCCCTTCCATGGGCTGGATGAAGGTGATAATTAGGTCCTTAAAGGATGGAAGAGTGAGAAGGCAGAAACAGATCTGCCCCCCTCCAACCCAGATATCCACCAAGAACTCTTACAAAGCAGGCACAGACTCCTGATGGGTTGTCCCATCCATGTCTGGAGCCCTCTGCTACTTCCACCCTAGCCTCTCCTAACTGATCCAATGAATAACGCGAGAACCGTACCTGGGGTTGACTCCTGCAAAGTCTACAAGGCTTAGAAGAACAGAGTGCATGCTCACTGAATGTTAGCTGACTGATGAAATGTTTATGATGCAGGGCAGATGGAGCAAACAGAAGATGCCAGGAAACTTCACTCCCTCTCCTCCCCCAACAGATGTCAGAGAGGATTCCGGATTCTCCGCTTTCGCTGTGTTGTTCCTAATGAAAGGAGAATCTCCCTCAAGTCAGCTCAGATGCCCATGGCAGTCCCGGGGCCCAGGGATTTAGCTCAGAAAAGAATCAGTGAGGATGCACCTGCTTCATTAGGCACCCATCCATGTGGAAGATGGGGCAAAGAAAGATGTGCTTCTCGATCTCTCCAGAGAAAGAGCCCAACGGGTTTTGACGGATATCCCCATAGTCTGTGCCTGCAGCTTTTAACCACTTGACTTAACAACTGCCTTTAATTTCACTGAACATAAGTTATTGATCCTGATCTCTGTTGCCTGGAAGCCCCGATCCTGATTGTTAATTGAGCTATTGATTTTTTAGCTCACATTAGCCGTTCCTGAAGGGGTGAATCCTGGGTAAGGTAGGCAGGTGGGCTAGTGAGGTGGCGGAGGTGAGGTTCTGCGGGGAAGTGATTTTAATTAGTAATAATAGCTTCATACTTAGCCGACTGGTTTGTAATACACATGGTGACATACCTATAGATCAAGCAGACAAACCAGCGGTGGCCCTTCTATAGGAAAATTAAATTGGGTCAATTATCTAACTGCCGGGCGATTTCAGATAGTTACTTAACTCAAAATGAACCTCTTGCCATATGCATCGAATCTGTAGCTCAGCCCCCAAAGCTTACTCAAGTTTGGATGTATAATTAATCAGGTTGGCCTCCTCCCTGCCTTCCCAGTGTAACATTTTAATGCTCAGAAACTTCCAGCAAACAAACAAAACGGCCATTAATAGGGGGGCGGTCACAGAAAGGTTGTACATTTCTGCCACAGAATTATTATGCAGTCATTTACAGATAGCAACTAACTTGGCAGAAAAAGATTCCACAATCTAGGTATCGTAAGTTTAAAAACAAACAAAAAAACAAAAGCATGTTCCAGTATTTATAATATGATCACATGTTTATAAAATAAGCAATTATCAACAATCATACATGATTATATGGGCCAGGACGGAAACATGGAAGGAACCACAAGAGACCCTAACGTCGGCCTGGGCATAGAGGGGGCATGGGCGTGGCAGGAAGAACACAAGCTTAGTTTTGCAGATTTAGTACATATTTACAGAATGCTTATCAGGTGCCAGGCATTACTTTAGGTGTCTTATAAACCTTGGGTCATCGGATCCTCTAACAACGACCTGATAGAGGCACTACTCTTATCCCCATTCTACAGCTCAGGAAGCTGAGTTTAAGTGGTGGAGTCAAAACACGACCCCGGAAGCTGGGTTCGCAAGCACCGTGTCTGTTGTCTGTGTAAAAAGAAGGTCAGTAACAAGTTAACTTAGGGTAGTGGCCATTTTTACTCTTTATATGTACCTTCATAGATTATTCAAATATTTTATGATGAGCATGAACTATTTATCCAATTGGGAAAAAAATTAAGTATTACCCGGCCCCACTCAATCAGACCCATGGCCTAATTTATTCATGCAACAATTTCTGCATGCATTTTCTCTTTTAATTTGCCTATTTCTGTCCTCTTATCATATTGTCCATGTTTTACAGATGTGGGAAGGAAGCTTAAGAAGTAGGTTGTGGTATAAAGGGAAATGAACCCATGACTCTCTAGGCTACTGTCACAAAGTAGAAATGTAACGTGAGGCAAAGGTGTGGTTTCAAAGTTTCTAGTAGCTACTTTTATTTTTTTAAGTTAATTTATTTTTGAGAGAGAGAGCATATATGCGAGTGGGGGAGGGGCAGAGAGAAAGAGGAAGAGAGAGAGATTCCCTCGCAGGATCTGTGCTGTCAGCACAGAGCTGGACACAGGCCTCGAGCCCACCAATAGTGAGGTCATGACCTGAGCAGAAACCAGGAGTTAGACACTTAACCCAGGCATCCCTCTAATAGCTACTTTTTTAAAAGTTGAAAAGAAACGGGCAGAATTCATATCAATGCCTTTTAACCCAATATAGCTGAAATACATTATTTCAACATGTAACCAGTATTTTAAAAATTAATAATGAAATAAGGTACATTCTTTTTCGTACTAAGTCTTCGAAATGCAGGCTGTATTTTCTACTTACAGAACATCTCAATTCAGATCCTACATTTCCCCCTGGAAATAGTTGATCTGCAGCTAGCTTTAATAACATTTGCAGCTGATAGACTGACAAGCTGTTGTAAGCATACTTTCAAGTTTTTCAATAACGGGATCGAGGAGCAGTTTTTAAACTGAAATTGAAATTAAGTAAAACTGAAGTTTCCATTCCTCGGTCTCACTAGCCACCGTCAACATGCACAAGAGCCACATGTGGCTCAATGGCTGCCATTTGGACAAAGCAGACCCAGACTATAAGCGTCACAGAGGCAGGGACCCATTTGTCTTTTTCTACCAGCAGAAAGCACGCAAGATGGTAGGTGCTTAAGAAAAAAATCTGAGTAAAGGGTGAGGGGAGAAGAGGAGAGATTTAAAGCCACCTATCCTGACGTTGCTCACTCTTCTTCTTGTAATTCTAGCCAATTCAGTTTGTATACTAAAAAAGAGAAAACTCAGGAAGGCTACAGCCTTACCATTTATGGCGCTTCTACTCCGAGCCAGGGGCTCTGACCTCTGCTAGACTCCTCAGGTAGACAGTTGACCTCAACTCCAAACCCAACACCTCCCTCCACCGCTTGCTGGCTGCAAAGCTTTCTTGGCAGCGTCACATAATAGGCTGGGGACGGTGCTCACTCCTTCCTCGGAGAGTCAATATGGGGACTGATATAAACTCCCCACACGAAGCCTGGCATGTTGCAGACCCTCAATCCATTATGCTTCCCTCCCTCTTCTCCCAGGTGATGGCGGGGATCCGCAAGCTGGACCTAACAGGAGATGAAATCTAACCAGAGAATGGCCTCCTGAGATCAGAAGATGCCACTGTGGACACTAATATCCCTCTAACTTCTGACAATAACATTTGGGGTAAGAGTCAACAAAACTTCCATGAGCTCGAAACGGAACAGGGTGAATTCCTGTAGTGAAATTGGCTCTTAGAGAGGTAGAAAAATAAGCCTGCACATGATTTCCATTTGTATCTCTTTAGACCCGCCTCCCTCCATCTTCCTCTTTCATTAGCACCGCCCCCCCAGAACCTTTCTTAAACGTTTTTCCCTTATCACCATCCCCCATGAAATTCTAATACCACAGATATACTGTATATGTGCTGTGTGCCTGCCTGCGCTTGGTGCGTAGGATGATTTTTGACAGCCAGATCCAGTTGTTGCCCCCACTGGATTGTATGATGTAAACTAGTGGTTCTCAGTGGGGAGGTGGATTCCCCCCGCCCTAGTTAGGGGGCACTTGACAATGTCTGGAGACATTTTTGGTCATCACAACTGGGAGCCGGGGTAGAGGCCCATCAAGTACGTAAAGGCCACAGATGCCGTCAGCCCATAGTGCACAAGACGGCCCCCTGACCAAATGTGCATAGCATGAGGGGCATCGGACCCAGCTTAAGGCCAACTCACTCTTCACTGCTGTGATGCTAAATGGTACAGCAAACACCCTGAGTCCTCCAGCCACAGACTCGCCTCCTCAACAGGGAGACTGCAGAGCGGATGCTCGCTCCCATGGCTTCTTGCCGTGTCCATGGGGGGCCTGTAGCCCAGGGGATGATCGCCAGCCAGGGAGCCTGGACACAGAATGGCCATCCTTCCATTGACCCTGCCCTGAAATACAAAGGAGGTGGGGGTACCAACATCGCAGACTCCTTTCTCACAGCTGAGCCCCCCCTGGCTGCGGCTCAGCCCGGAATGGCCTGCTTGACAAGTGTGAGCTCCCTGTGGCGCTGTGAAAGGCCGCCAGGCCGCCCTCTCCAAGACGCAGGTGTCTGTCCTCTGAAGGAGAACCAACCGGCCCCGGCCAGTGAGATTCAAACACTTCGCTCCTTCCTGCGGCGCAGCCTGACCTTCCCTGGGCGGGCAGCTTGGTAGAAGGTGGAACGACGTTGATTTCTGAAGACTGTCAAGCGAGCGCTACTTTGGGCTGAGTTGTAGGGAACTGGAGATCTATAAACCTTTTTATGTGCAGGGAGAAAGGAGCCAGCATCGTTCCCAGTGAGTTTCCCAGGCGAGAGGAGACTAGTGGAGGCTGAGAGACAGTGGGGGCAAGAAGCAAGTTTTCCCTTTATTAACAGGCTTATAGAGCTACTTTAAAAAAATAAATTAAAGCTGGGGAAAAAAGATCCTTGAGTTTTACCACCAGAAGGGAAGGGGGCTGGGCTGGTCAGGCTGGCTTTGACATTGCAGGGACATCCTTTGCAAGATCGGCGGATGTCTCGAGGCTGCAAAGCACACCCCGGGGCAGGCTGCTCTTGCATTCGGACCCTGTGACTGACAGGGCCGCCCGCAGCCCCAGGGGCGCCCGCGGGAGCTCTTCCATGGCCCCTGACTCTTTGGTCCGGGGGAGGGTGCCTCGAGTGCATGGTTCCCTCTCCAACCGGGCTCCAGACACGGAGACCCGTAATCACTGTGACAACCCCTCCCCCCTCCGGAGCCCTGATGCCCACGCTGGGACTCCTCACTACTACCCGGGGCAAGTCCTGGGCACCAGACAGGTAGATGCTCCCACCATTTTCCCTGCCTTTTCTCCACTCTTCTTCTTCCCCATCCACTCCCTGCTTTTTATGACTCTTTTCCTCCTTCCCTCTCCTCTTTCCTTCCTTCTTCTCAAAGAATTCCTCTTGTCACTGTGCAGGGGATGGCACTCCTGCTCTCTCACATGGATGGATGTAACCTGGCCATTCCCCCTAATGTAACCCTCTGTGGCTCCTGACTGAAGCCAGCCAAGCCCTCAGCATGGAAAACATAAGAGCTGACTGTCCAGTCTCAGCCCCAAACGCCACTGCCTGTGAGTGCTCACGTGCACACGCACACACATATGTACACACTCACGCATGCCCACACACCACACACCACACACATGCATACACGTGTGCATGTGACACAACACACACGCATGCTTGTGTGCACACACACACGCACATATGATACACAACACAGAGACACATGCACCACACATGTGCATATGCTCACACATCACAAGCACATGTGCAAATACATGCACATATACCCCACATGCACCAAACACAGATGTGCTCACAATACACACACTCGCACAACACGCACGTGTGTGCACCAAACTCACATGTGCACCCACACAAGTGCGTGCGCACACACACCACTTTCCACCATTCCCAGGCATAGCATTTTAAGCCTCTACTCATGGGGCACCTGGGTGGCTCAGTCACTTAAGCACCCAACTTTGGCTCAGGTCATGATCTCACAGTCTCTGAGTTCAAGCCCTCTGTTGGTCTCTGTGCTGACAGCTCAGAGCCTGGAGCCTGTTTTGGATTCTGTGTCTCCCTCTCTCTCTGCCCCTCCCCTGCTCATGCTCTGTCTCTCTCTCTCTCTCTCCAAAAATAAATAAACATTTAAAATAATTTAATCCTCTACTCATAATTATAACAAGTTAATATTTAATAAGTGGCTGTCTTCATGCTGGAAACTTGGGGTCGACTGGGCACTGAAGCCTCTCACGCATGATGTGCCTGATTCTGCCATCAGCCCCATTTTCCAGATGCCAAAAAGGATGTGTGAAAAGGTTGCAGTGACCATCGGAGATGTCATCATGCTACAAATGAGACCTGAGCCTAGACACAGTCCCCACAGTGGCCCTGCTGTCTCCACACCTGCGTCTCTGGCCCTACTTCATCTCTCCCTTGAAAGCCCTCTCCTCCAGTGAAATAAGACCATTTGCTTTTCCCTGCATAAACCCATTCTGGTGCATGTGCCCCAAATCCCTTTCTTTTTTGCTTTATTTAGTGAACACCAAAAACCATGACAGACACCGGCAATACTGTAGTGAACAGAAACCAAGTCCTGAAGTAGGTTCTGTGAAGCCGGAAGCCAGTCTGTCTCATTTGCTGCGTCCCTGCAGCCAGCGCGGCACTTGCCACAGAACAGGTGCTCAAAATCCTTTTGGTGGCAGGAACGGAAGAATGAGGGGGCACAGAGTCAGAGAGAGGTGGCATCTTCGTGCTGAGGCTCCGTCTTGGAAATGAGCACCAGGATGTGTTCTCCGAGGACCTGCCTCAGAGCCACATCCATTACTCTGGCTGACGACGTCGTGCATTCACTCAACGATCGCTTATTGGGCTCCCGCTAAACACAGCTCTCCTTGCCAGGTGCTGGAGACACGGCAAAGAATAAAACCCAGTCCCTGCCTGTAAGGGGCTTAGCCTGTGGGAGAGCAGAAGACCATTACAGAACGGGGTCCTGAATCTGCCACAACATGGGTAAACGACGGGGTGATGGTTTTGAGAGCAAAGGGTGGGATTCTTCATCATACAAGAGGGGTCATAGGTGGCCTCCTAGGACAAGTGACATCTGAGCAGAGACTTAGAGTATGACGTGAAATTAGTGAGGTGTGTGTGCACATGCACATGCACATGTGCACCCCTGGAAGGTGCTGGGAAATGTGTTCCAAGTGGAGGTGTCCACACATGCAGGTGCAGAGGTGAGGGGAGAGAGCAGAGCATGCTCATTACGGCTCATGCACGCACTGACGGGAGCTAGGGTTGGAGAAAGGATTCCTCCCGTGTGTATTGATTCCATTCACAGAATGTAAAAAAAACAAAATAAATAAATAAAATGCTTCCTGGACCTCAGTTTGATCCTCTGGAAGGAGAACAGGGGTTCCAGTCTGTCAAGTACAGAAAGGTTACTGCACGTGACAGAAGACAAAACAAGACAGAAGAAAATATGGTGACATCATAGTGGCTCCTTCCCCATGTATCTGCCACCAGAAAGGTCCCTGGAATCTTCATGGCCAGTCTGGTATGTCCAGGTAGAGGCTGATCAGAGATGTAGCTAAGAAGCCCCATCCATCCTCCCTTCCCTTCCTGATGTTTCATCACTTGTCACCTTTTTTTTTAATGTTTATTTATTTTTGAGAGAGACGGTGCATGACCAGGGGCAGAGAGAAACGGAGACACAGAATCTGAAACAGGCTCCAGGCTCTGAGCTGTCAGCACAGAGCCCGACGCTGGGCTCGAACTCAGGAACCATGAGATTATGACCTGAGCCGAAGTCAGACGCTCAACCAACTGAGCCCTCTAGGTGCCCTAAAGCAAACCCTTTTAAAGCAGCAAGTGAGGCAGGGAAGGAAGGTGAGTGAGAGAAGGCACGACCAAGCAGCAGCCATGTCTCATGCACTCGTAGGAGCAATAACACCAGAAATGCCAGAGTGGAGTCGAAGAAATGCTGTTGGGTGTGGCGAAATCACTGCTAGAGGATGAGACACTGTTGTGATCACTTTGAGGCCAATCCTTCCCTCTACTAGGGATATCTTCCCTCCCTCTCCTCCACGGCCCCTTTCTGAATTCAACACAGTTCTATTCAGGTCAGGTTACATTAATTGGGCACCTACTGCATGCCAAGTACTGATACATTCAAGAAACAAGTAAGTAAAAATCAAGTTCCACTACAATTTGGAAATTAGGTTGAAGGCCGGTGTACGGCTTGAACTTGGATATTGCCTTCACTCCCCAGCCAGCATAAAGACGTGCTCGGTGTTCAATGAGAATACCAAAGGAGGCTTCAGTCATTCCATCCAGATAGGACTGGAGAAGCTTTCAAGAAGAAAATGCTTAAGATTAACCATAATAATGATCCCTCCCATTTAGAGAGCTCCTATTATGAGTCTAATGCCATACCAGGCTCTAATATGTCACCTCATTGCACACCCACAGCAGGCCTCCAGGGCAGTTTCCTACACCTGACACTTGGTTGCCTTTCCAACAGCCATCCTCCTGACTAAGAGATTTGGGCTCCTCCCGAGCCCAGGTTATGAATTCTGGTTTCTCTAACCCAATGGCAGTGGGCTCAAGCAGTGCATATGACTCAGCTCTGGCCATTGAACTA